GTGGGACTCAGGCTGGCCTAAAGCTCACTAAATGGCTATGGACAGTCTTGAACTCCTGACCTTCCTGCTTTCACCTTTCAAGTGCTCAAATTATAAGACGTCGGGGTGGTGGCGCCCCGCCACGTGCAGCAGCTGGCAGCCCACGCGGCGCGGCAGCTCCTCCGCGCCACCCACGTAGAGGCGCGCGCCCAGGGCCAGCAGCGCCAGGCACTGCTCCCGCTCCAGGGGCTGCCGCGCCGCCTCCAGCACGCGCCGCACCAGCCCTTGCTTCACGCTCGCAGGGTAGGACGAAGTCACCACGGCCTCCAGGATCTTGTCCATGACGACGGCCACACGCTGCTGGGGGCAGGGAGCAGGGCAGCGCTCTGACACACACCCGGTCCAGGTCCCTGGGTGCTCACGCTGCAGAAGGGCCTCGGTTTGCTTGCCTCTAAAATGGAACACGAATATCTTTATCACAAAGAAGTAACACAGAATGGCACCTGCCCAGCCCCTGGGAGTCCCAGCTCTGGCTGCTGGGCGCCTTCTCGCCGCCTCCCTGGTGACTACAGACACTCTTGAAATAGGTGAGTGTTGGCTCTGGAGCAGCAGTAAGTAGTCTTGGGTAAGCCACACGGGACCGGGAGGGCAGGGGGAGGGCAGGGGACTGGGCCCCGCCCGAGACCCTTTTCTCAGATCACCTACAAGTTTGCAAAGTTCTCCTCTTGGTGAGCGCTGTGCCATTTGCCTGATTCATCCCATCTCTAAGCCCTTGCCTCTAACAGTCACCGGGCAAACTTCTTTTCCTAAAAGCCTACAACACCTGTCCGAGGTGAACCCACGCCCGGTCTGCAATAGCATCCTTGTGGGGGGTGGAATTATCAATTTGATAGGACCTAGAATCAATCACCTGCGAGACAAGCTTCTGGGCACACCAATGAGGGATTTCTGCCTCTGGTCAACTGTGGGGGATTATCCCGATTGGTTTGAGGTGGAAGACCCACCCACTAGTCTCTGGGTTGGGATCCTTAACTGTATAAGGGGGAGAAAGTGACCTGAGTAACGGTCCTCGTTGCTGTCATTGTCTTGGGTGTGCAGCGACGACCGGCTGCTTCAAGTTCTGCCCCAGGACCACCCCACCCTGAAGCCGTAGACCTCTGAGGGGAGTCACCAGAAATCCTTTCACCCTTAGGCTGTATTTTACCACAGCAACTGGAAGACATTAGGATTAAGCCTGGGTCCCTTCTCATGGCTGCCAACACTTAATGCTAGGGTCATCCTGATGCCCTTCACTGACCCTCCCACCCAGCCTGGCTCCACAGCCCTTCACCCCCAGGGCCCTACCTGCTTCTCCAGCCTCAGCCCCTGCTCCCTGTCCACCCCCTTCCTCTCCCTGCTTGGTGTGGTGGTTTGGATGAGAATGGCCCCCATAGGCTCACGGTGGAATATGCAGTCCCCATAGGAAGAACTGTTTAGGAAGAGGTAGGAGGCGCGGTCTTGTTGGGGGTGGTGCATCACTGGGAGGTTTCACAAGTTAGCTTTCTCTGCCTCCTGCTTGCTGAACAAGATGTGATGCCTTTGCTTACCCATCAGGGACTCGAACACTCTGAAACCATAAGTCCGAATTAAACACTTTGTCTTGTTTTGTTTTGCAGAGCTGAGGACCGAACCCAGGGCCTTGTGCTTGCTAGGCAAGCGCTCTACCACTGAGCTAAATCTCCAACCCCTAAACACTTGGTTTTGTAAGTTGCCTTGGTCATGGTGTTTTATCACAGTCATAGAAAAGTCAGACACTTGGCTGGCACTCCAAAAAAGCCTCACCTGCCCTTCCTACCTGCTTCAGACCTCCTGGTTAAACACTCAGAATATCCTACCCAGCTCCTGTACAGCACTTGGCTGGTATCAGCCTCCCCACCACATTAAAAATGGTTCCTGAAGTCAAGTTTTGATTATCAGTCTCCCCAGCACCTGGCAAGTGGCTAGCACACAGTAGGCATGTGTTGGGTGAGAAAGGTCCTTACCACCCTGTGGCATAAAAGCCCTCCACCTGGGCTGTTCTCCGGACTCCTCCACACTGACCCATTCTAACCCCGGAGTCCCAGGCTGAGTTTCATAGTACAGCTGGCTCACTTCTTATCTAGCTCTCACCTAAGAGAAGGCAGGGCCCTTTCTCTGCATAATCCTACTCTAGGCAAAGCCCAACTTATAGTAGATGCTTCATGTACTTCCCCAAAATTACTGAAGCTTCCTTCACATTGCAGCTGGGTGAAGACAGTGGAGCATTTCCTGGACAATGGGCCAGAAACCTGATGCAGAACCTGAGCCGTTCTGGAGCTGTCTCTGGAGATGCACACTTCTGGGTCCTACCTCTGAACTGTGTCCCACCAGTACTGCATGTCTCTTTCCAGGGGCCCCTCTGTTTACGTCTGTCTCAGGGTGTGAGCTCCCTGGTACAGGGACTACGCTTACGTCTCAGTGGCTGGCATCTCCCACACCAAGTTCGAATCTTTGGCGGTCAGTGGTTGGAGGGTCCATCACAGCCCAGGTCAGTGGCCCCCAAATGCTAGCCTGGCTGCCTCAGAGTCAGCAAGCCTCCAGCACAAGTGTGCTTAGCACCTCACTGTGGAGCTTCATTTGTTTGATGGTGCTGGAACTGAACCGAGGGCCTCACGCACCCTGGGAAGCACCAATATTAGCCTAAGCGGCACTGCTCAGCTGCCGTTTCCATTCTGCCCCTCGCTCCTCCTGCCTTTTATATTTTGCTGTTGTTTGAAATGTAAATTTAAGTTGCTTGATATTTTTGTTTTCAGACAGAGTCTTGTGGGACTCAGGCTGGCCTAAAGCTCACTAAATGGCTATGGACAGTCTTGAACTCCTGACCTTCCTGCTTTCACCTTTCAAGTGCTCAAATTATAGGCATGAATTACCATGCCTGGCTTCTTGGGGGGGGTTGTTTGTTTGTTTGTTTGTTTTCGGTTTGTTTGTTTGTTTGTTTGTAGATGGAGTTTTACTCTGCAGCCCAGGTGAATCTGAGTCTCATTACTCTGCCCCTTGAGCCTCCCACTGGTTGGAAGGGGCTATGAAAAGGAACAAGACACCCTTAGCATGGTGCTGGATGTGAGGAAACTCTCAAGAGACATCAATTCCCACTGCCTCGGAAGCAAAGTCTGGGGATCCTTAAGGAGGTGCGAGCCTAGTGGAGGAAGCAGATGTGGAGAGAGAGCAACAGGCAGTGCAAAGGGCAATCGGCGGGCCTTGAAAGACTCGCCTTGAGGTTGGGGTGCCACGAGCTGGATCCCCAGCACCACACAAAGAATTAACAAGAAACAGAATGGCACCCCCACCACCACCATGTCACCCTGGGCCCTCCTTCTTAGGCAGGACCTAGGACAAGGCAGTGGCTGTCTTCAACCTCCTCCGCCCTGTAGACTAGTGGGTGGGTCATGCTTTTTAACCCAGGCTGCCAAGAAAGCCCAGCATGCACACTGCTAAGAAGAAACCTTAATCAATGAGATTTTGGCATCATGTATAGAGGGCAAGGGCATAGGGCAGGCACAAATGGAATTCTGGAGCCAGAGAAGGTTCTAGAAGACGATTTAAAATATTAAAGTAGAAATGGAGACCTGCACTGTGTGACCTTGAGTAAGGCATTATATATATGGGCTGCTTTTCTCGTTTTAAAAATGGGGATAGATGGCATGAGATTAAACCACAGAAACCGAACAATCAAAGCCCTGCAGCAGTTCCCTGCCAGTTTCCCTGACACTACATCGGGTGGGCTGCACGTGGCAGCGGGAAGCCCCGCCCATCAGGACCACCCAAAGTTCCAATCACCAAAGCCAGCCTTCCTCAGTCTTCGGCCTCTCCACAAAGCACAGGGCTAGCTACCTGCGCCAACGCCTACGCAAGCAGTCGGGTCAGCTGTCACCATGGTTACCAGTAAACCCACTCGGCGATATCTTGGATGCATTCACGCACAAGAGCTTCAGAGGTTTTGACTTCACCTGACGCCAATCGCAGGCCAGAGAAGGAGGGCAGGAGTAGGGGGGTAGTGGGGACACATTTCCACGACACAGCGGAATCAGCTGTCATTCTTCCCCTCCCGGAAGAAGCTGTTGGACACCTCTCTCTCGGAAGAGGAGGAGGAGGAGGCCGGGTTACCCAGAAGGGGCGGCTGGTCCACACCGGCTCTGAGTCCAGCCAGCTGTTCCACACCTAGTCCAGCAGCCCTCCTCCCTTCCGCTCAGAACCACAGGCTCACCTGGGGCAAGCTTCTTCTAGCACCTCAGTTTTCTTGCTGGAAAATGGGAATTGTTCTGCATCTGCCACTCCTAGGGTTGGGCCAGTGTTTAAAAAATAAAGATGGTGGCTTGGGCAGACATGAGTCTCTTATTGGCCCTCTGTCGTGGAGGGAGCACACACACACTGTGAGGGGAAGGAGGGGAGCACTCACTGCCAGCTGCCTCCAGGAATTCCCTCAATTCAACTGTTTCCACCCTTCCCCCAGCATCAGCTCCTCTTCATCCCCTGCCTGGACGAGGGCAGTGTAGTTTTCTAAACCTCATCCCCTCATTTGATCCATCCTCCACGAAAGGCACAAGTCCTGGAGGACGTCAGTCCAGGTTTTTCATTTAGCCCGACACAGCCACCGTAATGGCCTTGGTTATAGAGGAATCGACTCCTTCACCTCCCAGCCTCTGAGACCCAGATGGAAGATGACTGGCCACTTACTTCTTGGCCTTTCCCAGCCAGGGCTGATGCCCTCACCCAAGCCCTGGGCTTGTGCCCTCACACTGCCAGCCTGTCAACCTGGGTGTCCAGGCACTTTCTGTATGTATGCTCCAGGGCCACCTGGGAGAAGCCACACCCCTCCCAGGAGGCCCCGAGCCTTCATCTGTCCCTTGAACAACCCTTGGCTTTCCAGCTGTGTGCTGACAGTTCCCTGCTTCTGCTTGGGGGAACCTGGCTCTTCTCTATTATCACCTGGGGGGTCTGTGGAGAGGGAGAAAGAGTCTGCGACCTCTAGTGATCAGCTCAGCCTTCAGCACCTCCTCAGCCTCTCTTTGGCCCCAACTCTCTCAGCAATGCCCTCATATTAACCTCATGGCTGGAAAGTTCCCTCTTGCCTGGCTACTCAGAACCTCGAGGCCACTAGCCCCCTCCGACAAAGCCCACGCTCGGAAGTCTAGCATTGGGGCTGTCTTCAAGACATGACACTGACAGGGGTCATCGATGGGACTTTGAGAAGGATGTGTGTTTTATTGTCTTTTCCCCTGGTGTCCTCTCTGTGGGGAAGGGCTTGCCTCTTCTCTCCTGGCTCGTTCTGACTCATCCAGCAATGCCCAGCTTGCAGGCCGTCCGTTCCTTGTCCCTCCACAGAGCGAGTCTCTGAGCCCTGGCTCCACGGCCGCCTTGGCTCCTTCACCCTCTGCAGTCCTGACCGGCTCCAGC